TAACCCGGACGTCATGCGAAAGAGAGCCATTTTATAAAATATTTTTAGATTGGGGTCATTTTGTGTTTAAGTTTGAGATAAAGGTAAGATTTGTTCATTTTCACGCATGGGAGCTACTGGTACGTGCGAACACACCACGCGTAAGGCGTCGTCGTGACGTGTCGCTTGACGGAGAGCTGGGCGGCGTACGTACTCCACTGCTCATGCATGGACGTCGCCGTGGCTTTGGAAGCGTCGCGGCGTGCTACACTGCTACACACGCCGAATGTACGTCCATGTGACCTCGTTTCGGCCCTCATGCATCCAGCCAGCCAGCCTATGGAGCTTGGAAGCCGAGGTTCCCCGACATCGACAACTACGTCCGTGTACAGGGTTCGTATTATTTCCCGGAGTCTCGTGTTTCATCAGTGTTTGTATATGCACCCAACCGGGGCGTCGGTCGAAACACGACGATGTGGTACAGCCGAGCAAATTGTAGGAAGCAGCAACTATCAAGGTCGGTTTTATACCTAGAACAATGTGTTGCAGCTAGCCCTATTTCATCATTTTTGGCTCCCTTAACTTAAAATTAAAAGAAGAATCAGCTCATCACGTTTGGGAGATATTGCCATTTTTAGTTGGATCATCATTTAAATTTCTCGGATAAAATTCAACATTTTCGAAAAAGAACAAAACACTTTTCAATAATCATACATCTATCCAATACTAATGCGGGGAAAATTCAACTCATTTGGACCGCTTGTTTCGGAATTGGGAGATATTGATAGTTTTAGTTGCTTATTCAAAAAAATTGGCTCAAATTATAGTTTTTAAAAGAAAAACTAGTAAATCATACATGTACTCAGTACTGGTTTGGAAGAAATCAGCTGATTGGCACTTTTAGTTGACCGGCTGATGTGGATGGTGTTTATTCTTTACATGTACACTTACAAGTGGGACCTGCACATAAAGGTTCACGTCATCTAAGCCAAAAAATGAGTTAGAGCTAGCTAAACATATTACACTAATATATGGGGTTTTGTGCGATAACACACATAGTAGGTGTTATGTGCTCCCTCCGTCCGAAAATACTTGTCATTAAAATGAATAAAAGGTGATGTATCTAGATGTATTTTAATTTTAGATACATTATTTTTTATCCATTTTGATGACAAGTATTTTCGAACGGAGGAAGTACAAAACAAACCCCAACGGTTGGTGGTTTCCACAATTTGTTTGGTACAGGTAGGTAATGCAAATATATTAGATCCCGAAAAAAAATACAAATATATTAGGTCTAACAAAGAGTGAGAAGTTGTGGTGTTCGGGCACCTTCTGGGCATGGTCCCCGGATCGATTTGGGAATTTCTCAGTGCGTTCAGCATACAAGCTGATGGTCGCGTTACGGCGTGATACAGTTTCAGCGTCAAGCTCAGAGGGGCAGGAGAGGGGGTTCTGGAGGAAATTGTGGCGACTCCCAGTACCGCCGAAGGTAAGAAATTTTTGGTGAAGGGTGATCAAAGGGTATGTCCCAACTCAAGCTGTTCCTTACGGGAGACATATTGAGCGAATAGCATTCTGTGAAGCTTGTGGCCGAGAGGAAAGCATCCGCCATGCCTTGTTTGATTGTACTTGGGCAAAATTATTCTGGCAGGAGGTCAAGCAAGCTACGTCAGTTAAGCTACCAGTGTTAAGTCCTGAAACATGGGCTGTGGGTATGGTGGATCATGACAAGGTTAAGCAGTCAGATGCATGTGTAATTCTATGTGGTGCCTGGGCCGCCTGGACAGAAAGAAATGCACGCACACATGATGAGACCACAAGATCCTTGATGCAACCAGTTAAATGGGCAACATACGTTGCTGCTGATCTAGCGGCGACGGGAAAAAGATGACAACAATTGCCAATAAGGGTCTCTTTGATTCAAAGGATTTTCATAGGATCTTTGATGGATTAAAATCCTTAGGATTTTTTTTTATGTTGGTCGTTTGATTCGTAGGATTGAATCATGTAGGATTTTTTCCAAAGGATTCATTTGTACTACATTTCACAGGAATTCTAACATCCACTCCAACCTCTTGGAAGAAATTCTCCGTTTTTTCCGTGACACAATCAAACAAACTCAAATTCCAATCCTACATTTTTTCTATTCCCGTGTTTTTACAATCCTATGAATCAAAGACGCCCTAGGAGGTACAGAGATGGAAGCCACCGGACCAAGCCACCCTAAAGATAAATGTAGATGACTCGTTTCAAGAGGACTCCCATCAGGGAGGCACAGGACTAGGTGTGTGCGACCACGAAGGAAAGCTAATTCGTGCTCAAGCAATTGGGTATGAGAATGGACTTTCTGCTATGTCCATGAAGGCGTATGCAATACGAGATGGCGCCTAGCTTGTGTTTGATTTGGGGTATAGGAAAGTGCACATGGAAACTGATGCCCAAATTGTGGTTAAACTCTGGGATTCTCCAGAGAATGACCGCTCGGAGATAGCTACCATGATTAAGGAAATCCAAGAGCTTTGCGGGAATTTTGAGGAGTTTCGATTGTCCTTCATTTCGAGGGAAGCGAACGAACTAGCTCATCTTTGTGCTAAACAATGTAACTCCCCTAGACGTCGGTGTATTTGGATCAACTATGTTCCGACCTTCCTCACAGCCTGTGTGATGAAGGATTGTAATCCCGCTGGTTAAATTAATAGAGCTCTTGATTCTAAAAAAAGGCGCATTGGTGCCCTTTTTTTGAAAATAATAATCAAAAAAATGTATTTAAAAGTTTCAAAAAATTCAATTTTTGTGTGGAAACTTGTATTTATTCACTAAGACTGCATGAATTTTTTTTTTGAAAAAATGTAATTTGTAAGCTATACAAAAAATCCGGCATAATAACAAAAAAAGAAGCCCATTTGAAAATACATATTTGTATTTTTTTTATGTACGTCATGTGTGAAAGTAAAATGATTTGAAAATTCAGTTTTTTTGCGTTGTAGAAAAATATTTTTTTTGGAAATAGGCACCAAGGTGACCGTGCACCATTGCTAATTTTTGCTCTAACAAAGGCATTCTTTGTTAGCTTTGTAGTATCAACTGAAATCTATATAAGTGAAATATTTTGGTGATAGTAAGACAAATGTGAATAATTCTATTTGTGCTATCAAGGATATAAAGATAGTGACTTGTTGTCTTGGTTATGAGCTGGAGGTGAGGGAAATGTTATTATCAAAAATATGTCATCTTACTTAGTGAAATAGTACTCTATGTTATTAGTTAATACTTATGAGCTGGAGGTTGTTGGGTTATGGGTATGATACTTTCATTTTGTATCACCATTTTTCATTATAAATTGCTCATAATAAGGTGTCCTTTTTTTAGGAAAAACACACATATTGATGAAATGACATCTCTTCGTAGAAAGACATATCTAGTTTGTAAACCTCTCAAAATATGCCCCCTTGACGAGCTTATATTTCTTTACGGGGGAAGTAGAAGTGTATGTCTCACTGTCTTTGCATGGCAGGGTCGAAGCAGCCAGATGACTACATTTAGCTGTCAACAGGTAATTTAGCACATGTGTTTCCATTTGGTACATCGGACTTTCGTGGACATATATGGCAAGGGGTTAGTGCGATGATCGTTCCGACTTAGGTCAGACAAGAAGAGGTTCCACCACATTTCCTGCGTTTGGCATCCACTTGGTGCAGTGCAGTGCACGTATACAGTCAAACCATGCACCGTATATACGCGCAACTTCTCATTACGCAACTGTACCGTGAAGCATCCTCACTCTATGCACCACTGGAGTCGCGTGCGGAACGACAACGCACTGGAAATATCTTGTCAACTAAGTTTGCCAGTACGTCGTGTTGGACCAATGATTCAAAATGCAGTACTTGAACTGCATGTTTGTGACCGAAAGTTAAAAAAATTCAAGGGTAAAGTGTTGTCTCAGTCGACTAAGATTGAACCAAGTCTTAATCAAGTGGTATATAGTTTATAAGAAGAAGAAATGAAACACTAAAAAGAAAAATTGTGTACAGATCTCAGTGCAAGATCAAAGGAATATAGTATCGATCGAGACATAACGAAGTCTCAGTCGATGTCGACTGAGACTTAGCAAAATTGAAAATTAAACTTCAAAATGTCTTATATTTTGATATAGAGGCGGTAGTAAAATATGACGAGCACAACTGAGCATGTTTTGGTGGAAAATGGGATCAAGCTGCCCGAAAGGAAACTGGACCCTGATACGTACGCTACAACAATAAGGGAGTATATGCGGCTGACAAGTGGGACCAGCAGCCACGCGGGCCACAGCATGTGTGTAGAGCTAAACCACGGTCAAGCCTCGCTCCCACCAATGGAGAGACGCCACCTGCCGGCACATCGAGACATCCAAGCGTTCCTCGCTCCTTCTCGCGCCAACGCGCCCATCCCAAATCACCGGAGCTCGACAGATCCACCCGTTTCTCGCCACTCGCAGGCAGTCCCCGGCACGCCACCGATCGCTTGCCCGCGTTTTCCTCGTTCGTCCGCCCCGCCCCGCCCCGCGACGGAGCTTTCCTCGCCCGGCACACAACCGCGACGTTTCCCGACCCCCCACTCCACCACCACCACCACCACCACCCTCCTCCTCCTTCCTTGACCCCTGCCCTACCCTAACCGCCCCCCTATAACTCTCCTAGCCCGAGCTGACCGACGAGCAGTGCCACTTGGGGAACAAACGACGAATCCTATTGAGCTCCCTTCCCTCTGCCTGTGCCGCACGCACACGCGATTCCGCTCGGCTGAACCTGGTCGCCGATCGATTTCTTCCTCCGGTTGAGCGAGGCGTGCAAGCTACAGCGTCGCCGGTTGGTTAACTAGCCGGCAACCCCGGCTGCCGACCCTGTTTCATAGGCTCCCCATAGGCTTCCTTTCTTGGCCCCTGCTTCAGCTCCCACTTCTGTCTGCCTCCGAGGTGAAACCCAAGCCAGAGCACAAGATCCTCACTGGTACTAGTGGAGCTAGCTAGCCTAGCAGACATGGCCACCGCCTCCACCATGTCCCTGCTCCCCATCTCGCACCTCAAGCAGATGCAGCAGCAGCGGCGCACGCGGCTCGCCGGCGCGCTCCCCGGGAAGGTGCTCGTGCTCGGCCGCCGGAGGCGCCACGTCGTGCCGGTAAGAAGAATCACATCCGCTTACCGTCTGCTCCTCTCTCTATATCTCCTGCCGGTGACTTGATGGGCTGACGAACTGGATGCTCTGTTTTTGTGGGTTGCAGCGGGCGCGGCTGTTTGGTCCGGCCATCTTCGAGGCGTCCAAGCTCAAGGTGCTGTTCGTGGGGGTGGATGAGGAGAAGCACCCGGGCAAGCTGCCGCGGACCTACACGCTCACCCACAGCGACGTGACGGCGCGGCTGACGCTGGCGGTGTCGCACACCATCCACGCCGCGCAGCTGCAGGGCTGGTACAACCGCCTGCAGCGGGACGAGGTGGTGGCCGAGTGGAAGAAGGTGCAGGGCGCCATGTCGCTGCACGTCCACTGCCACATCTCCGGCGGCCACTTCCTGCTCGACCTCATCGCGCCGCTCCGCTACTACATCTTCCGCAAGGAGCTCCCCGTGGTACGTCCCAACCTGCCAACGCCGATCGCCAGCCACACCGGCGCAACGTGGGCACCCGCACGTCCACATAGTATTTTCTTTCAAGACCACGAATTTCTTCGCTCTGCGAGAGTTTTTGGCCACGAATTCGATGGCCAATTTCTTCAGCGTCATGATTCTCCATAGCGTGATCAACACACAGTGTCTTTATGTCCGTGTCACCATTATTTTGGCCTCGTACAGTTTCAGCATGTGCTAGCTGTGGGCTTTGGACTAGGTCATCTTTTGCTTTGCAATCTTGTCTGCCGCCTTGGGAAGGCTAAATTTTGGACAGAATCTCCTGAGTTAATCATACGACTGTGGTCTCAAGCTGATTGATGCCTTAACAAAAGTTCCAGATGAAGATTAAATGTGCAGAAATTTACTACTATAATTCACTGCTTGTAGAAATTTCAATATTATCTGCGAAATTTGCTGTGGCTAGACAGTGAAGTGGCTTGTTCTCTTGGCACGGTGCATAGGACACATGTTCTGAGTTCTGACTCTGCTTTGGTTTGGTCAGGTTCTGAAGGCGTTCGTGCACGGCGACGGCAGCCTGTTCAGCCAGCACCCGGAGCTGGAGGAGGCCACGGTGTGGGTCTACTTCCACTCCAACAACCCCAACTTCAACCGCGTCGAGTGCTGGGGCCCGCTCCGCGATGCCGCCGCGCCCTACGACGACGAGAACGCCACCGCCGACTCCCCAGCCGCCGACGCAGCCGTGGCCACTGCCACGGACGAGCAGGCGGTGCGCGCGGGCCAGTGGCCCCGGCGGTGCCCCGGGCAGTGCGACTGCTGCTTCCCGCCAGAGTGCCTCATCCCCTGGCCGCAGGAGCACGAAATGGCCGCCGACGCCGGCCAGGCGCCGCCGCAGTGAAGCCGGAGTGCGGACACAGATTAGCCGACCGAATCGTTCAGCTCGCCAAGGTACATACGTAGACGGATGCAACGCAGCGCATGCGGTGGCGGCAAGAGACCGCCATTGCATGCATGCATGCGCTGCGCTATTCTTTAATTGATACTCCTACTAGCAGCTTGATAATTAATTAGCTCAGCCGCAGTGCATTCTTAGGTTTAGCCAGGTAAATGTAACTCCATGGGTGTGGTGATCTAGCTAGCTAGCACCTTGGCTTGTAAATAGAAATCACATTATCAGTCGTTGTTGTACGTACGGGCAAAGAAAGGGAATCATTTGGGAGTGCATTCTAAGATCGATGTTGCTGCTGCAAGATACTACTCCTAGGGAGTAGGAACATTTCGCTGCTTCATTTGGACGGTGTTCGCACTGGGTTTGTGTAGGAATAAACGTGAAATTTCAGTCGTGTCACGATCGGGAGGTGTCGGGACGGCTCTGGGCTCTGGAGTCGTTGCGGATTTGGCAACCGTTGTACAGTATTTCTCTGCTCTGGAACCGAAAGTGTGTGCGTTGGTAACGGTAGCTGTCGGGGTTGGCGTGCCGGTCTGGGTAAAACTGGGTCGGGAACTTTCTCACGAGTGATCGATTCGAGCTGGCCGATTCAGGATCACTTGGCTAAGTGGAACGGTGGATGGATGGACGGATGACACGTTGAGGTGGAAGGTGATTTCGGTTTGATTAGTGGTTTGCGTCATGGCTGGGATCTGCAACTTTGTCCGCACCCGCGGTAGTTCATGCGTGCAAGCGTTTCACATCCTTCTTCTACCGCTAAAACACCGTACGGCTCCACTGCTCGACACGTCGTTTCGAGTTTACTGTCCGCGTCGCAGTGACGGGCGAATCGTTTGTTGGACGGCGCTACGCATCCGTCGGCTGACCATGAGAGAAAAGATTGGCCAGCTCGGGAGTACGACCATGTTGCAAACCTCGTCTCAATACGATCATGTTGCAAACCTCGTTGCAACACGATACTTCTTTTCATAAACTTTCAATCTATTATCAACTATTAAAGTAGTACAAAAAAACACTAGAATTAACTAGCAAGATGCACATGCGTTGCACGGAATATCAAGATGTATTTGTATGAGTAGTTTATTTTGTGGGAGAAAAGGACGAACGAGGGAATGCTTTATTTGCAAATGTGGAGAGGGGTGTAAGTATCTTTTTGCAAAATTATCATAGTTTTCTTCCTATCCGTCAGATATAAATCGGATGGCCTATATTGCAGGATGGCATGAAAACCATCATCACCAACTCTGTTTTTTATAAGATAGAAGTAAAATTTACATCTAGGTCCGTAAACCACCTAGCGACGACTACAAGCATTGAAGCGACCCTCACGACACTAGTAGAAAAAGGCTCATTTGTCCCGGTTCGTAAGGCTCATTTATCCCGATTCGGCAACCGGGATTAAAGGGTCGGTACTAAAGCCCAACACCTTTAGTCCCGGTTCTTATACCAACAGGGACAGATGGGCCTCCACGTGGCCGATGTGGCTTGCCCAGGCAGGGGGGCCTTTTGTCCCGGTTGGTAGCACCAACCGAGACTAATATGCGTCCACGCGTCGGCAGTTCAGAGGTTAGGGTTTTTGTTTTTTTTCTGAAAGGGGGAGAGGAGTTGGGGGTTTTGGGGGGGTTTTGTAGGGTTAATTTAGGGGTTTCATATATTGTGTTAGCTAGCTAATAGAGAGAAGTGTCATCTATTATCTCCATGCTTGGTGGACGCTACATACTATACGTATAGAGAGGACTCGACACGCTAGCTAGTAAGCAAATAAAGGAAACCATTAAGTACAGAAGATTGTCATGAACATATACAGAGAGAAGTGATCAACCTCTCCTTCTCCGAGATATTGGTCGAACAACAAGTTTTCGTATATCTATCCGACGCTGCTGGCTACATATATATATACAATGTAAGATCTCTTACAATCCCCTAGTATCTGAACTCAAGTTCCACATGGTATTCTTTGGCTTTATTGATAACGTGGTCAAGAAAGAATCCCACCAATTCTTGCGGTAGGAGTTCATCCCGCATCTGCCACATCTAATTTGAAGAAGGGGGTAAATACATAGATATGAATGAAACTCAACACAAATGATGGTAATAAAATGAAATTGTGAATATTATTGCTTATGCACTTCAAATTGTATTTTAGAGTAGCCCTGGTTTTTTGCAAGTCGCGTTGTAGATGAACTCACAAACGTAGTATCCACAGTAATTATTTTCGGATTCCTGCCACAAGCACTTTACGAGAAATAAATGTCAATCAAACTGATAATGAAGCATTATAAATGGCATTGATGAAAGTAGCTAGAATCACCGGAAGATGCGTGGAACTAGCTAGCTAGTACTATTTACTTTCGAGTATGTCTATCGCAGCTCCACCGGCAGTCCCGAAGCTTGTGCAGTGAATACTTTCCAAATCCTGCGAGACAAAGAAAACAATTACTTGATATCAGAAAAGGAACAAAGTTGCCTATATGGTGCGATAATGATCGATTGAACTTACTTCTCGAGCATTTTAGTCATGTCTGCATAGTCCTCGGGAGATTTTCGTCTCGAGTCTAAGACGGTTACTAGTCCCTGCTCAAGTTTAATCTCTAGGAGAATATAGTGGAACCTGCGCACGCATGCATAACTCATCAATTACATTATTATAACCTCGAGTAATAAGGGAAACCGAATATGCACAAGACAGTAACACTCACTTGAAGTTGTAAGGAAAGAGTATTTTATCTTTATTTTGATTTATTACCAATGATCGTAGCAAGTTGGCATCGGTTTCTTTGGCATGAAATGTAACCGTATATTCATCTATGAGATTTGTGTTAATGAACCCAATATCATAGATTTGTGCTTTTCTGCATTCGACGATCTTCAATCTGCATAATATAGTGAGGATAATTATATATACATGCAATGAAAGAGCTGAGCTATATATAGAGACTTAATGACAGAAGTAGTACTTACATATACTAGCAAGTGACCGTTAATTTATCGAGGGCCTTTTGATTGAAAAACTGGAAGAACTCCTCAAATGGAACAGACAACAGATCAATTCCAACGAGGTCGTGCTCCTCTTTAACTCTCAGCGTCAAAGTATCCTTCTCAGACTCTCTGCAGGTTTTCATGTACCAATCATGGAATCTTCGCATCATCGTTGTTAGAGGAGGACTTCCATCTTTGACGAGAGGCTTCCCGTACTGGTATCTGAATCCGTCCATCTCCATTATATCATAATGTGCATCGTCGTCGTGCATGTAATCTGCATGACTGGTACCAGGCAAGATCCCCAGATGATTGGCGATGATATCGCTAGACACCTTGAGCGGGGGGCACGATTGATTCGCTTGTTCGCAGAGCTGGGGAATTTTTTCCCACTTCTTCGTTCTGCTAACCTTCGATCACTTCAAGTACTTCCCGACCGCTCCGCTTCGATATATGACCTTTCAATAATGCGCTCATAGTTAGTTTTCGGCAGAGACGATGGTGGTTTCTTCAGGGCATCGATAGTGCGATTTGCTTTACCGGATCTATCTTCTCCTCCGGAGGTGGATGTTTCTTAGCTCTTTGCATTTCAAAGAACTCCCTCACTTGGGCTTGATAGATCTTCGTGTTTTCCTTCTCGGTCAACTTGTATGGTAATCTCTCTAGAGGCTTGAGAGATGGATCGAATCTGTATTGCCTCCCACCTCTGGTTGTACTGCTAGATGACGGAGCGGACGGAGCGGTTGCGGCTGTCTTCTTTCCTTGCTTACGAGGCAAAGAAGAAGGACTACGACACGCCGGAGCAGCCGGAGCAACGGCGGCTCTCTTCCGCCCTTGCTGACGAGGCGTACGAGGAGGCGGGCTGCTCGGGCACGCAGGCGGAGAAGGAGGCGGAGTGCCGCCATGCGCTGGAGAAGGAGGCAGAGTGCCCTGACCACTCGCCGGAGGAGGAGGCAGAGTTCCCTGACTCGCCGGAGGAGGAGGAGGAGGCGGAGGCGTCCAGTTCGGAAGGTTGATGAGCTCCTTCCGCCATAGACATGGAGTCTTCAGAGCACAACCCAGCCGAGTCCCTCCTTCACCGGTAGGGTGGTCAAGCTCGAGCTCCTCAAATCCCTCCATTATTTCATCCACCATCACAGCAACATATCCTTCTAGAATCGGACGGTAGCGAAAAGTTACGCCGGGTTCAGGAGGTGCAACAGAGCCAACAGCCGCCTTGACTTTGAAGTTCTGCCATTGTGTCATAAGGTGGCAATGTTGAGACTCCGTGATAGCATCCACGGGGTAGCTAGCAGGAGCCATGAAGGCAGGCTCCTAAAGCAGCTTGGTGGAAGCCACGCTGCTTCTCCGCTGAGATGGCGGGGTAGCTTCGGGGGTAGCTTAGGCAGGTCGCTGGCTGTGAACTGTTTCTCGTTCCTCTAGCGCTTGTACCCTTGCGTGCCGCGCCTACAATTGGGTCTGCTCCACTTTCCTCTTCCTTCCCGGCCTTTGTAACCGCCTGCGTCGGGAAACCCAGCCTTCCACGAAACGGGGCCTGGCGTGCCTCGTGTCCGTCCAGGGTGCTCATGATTCCCGAGGGCCATTGTGATCTCGTCGTTCTCTCTGTCGGGAACGAACGTCCCTTGCTGCGCTGCGGCGATATACTCCTGAAGCTTCATGACGAGTATTTGCAGTTGCTTGTTTGTCCAAACGCACTTCCCTGTTTCAGGGTCCAAGGTTCCCCCAACCCCGAAGAACCAAGTCCTTGAACGGTCTGGCTAGTGCAATGTCTCTGGTTCGACCCCTTTATCAAGCAGGTCATTCTTAGCCTTCTCCCACAACGGCCGGGCTTTGAGGTAGCCACTGATACGTCCATTTTGCATCATGCTTTTATATCGATATTTATTGCATTATGGGCTGTTATTACACATTATGTCACAATACTTATGCCTATTCTATCTTATTTTACAAGGTTTACATAAAGAGGGAGAATGCCGGTAGCTGGAATTATGGGCTGGAAAAGGAGCAAATATTAGAGACCTATTCTGCACAGCTCCAAAAGTCCTAAAACTTCACGAAAGTTATTTCCAGAATATATAAAAAATACTGAGCACAAGAAGTACCAGAGGGGCCCACACCCTGGCCACGAGGGTGGGGGCGCGCCCTACCGTATCCCCTGGGCACGCGCCCCTACCTCGTGGCCCCCCTGGTTGTTGGGGAACGTAGTAATTTCAAAATTTTCCTACGCACACGCAAGATCATGGTGATGCATAGCAACAAGAGGGGAGAGTGTTGTCTACGTACCCTCGTAGACCGAAAGCGGAAGCGTTAGCACAACGCGGTTGATGTAGTCGTATGTCTTCACGGCCCGACCGATCAAGCACCGAAACTACAACACCTCCGAGTTCTAGCACACGTTCAGCTCGATGACGATCCCCGGACTCCGATCCAGCAGAATGTTGGGGAAGAGTTCCGTCAGCACGACGGCGTGGTGACAATATTGATGTTCTACCGACGCAGGGCTTCGCCTAAGCACCGCTACAGTATTATCGAGGTGGACTATGGTGGAGGGGGCACCGCACACGGCTAAGAGACGATCGACTTGATCAACT